GTCGACACCGCGACTAAGACATCTCACCTGTCACCTAAAGACCCAGTGTTTAGCAACGACGACAAGCAGTTCTTTACGATCTACTTGAACAATCCAGCCAAGATGGGCGACGAGTATCTCTTGTCGATGTCGTTTTCGAGTCCGCTAAAAATGGACAACTACGGCTTCTATGTCAGCTCGTACAAAGTTAACGGGACGACCGAGTAAGTAAAGAAAGAGAACGCGCATACTGTCGTGGATTTCGTGTTTCAAACCTGCGAACTCCGCCGTCTACTCCTCAGGTACATGGCGACGACGCACTTCGAGGCGACGAGCGCGCGCAAGGCCTTCCCCTGCTTCGACGAGCCGTTGTACCGCGCAACCTTCGACATTGCGGTGGCCAAGCTAGACGACGAGATCGCGCTGTCCAACATGCCCCCCGTGGGTGAGCCCTCCAAATACGAGTGAGTACGCACCCCGGCCACCGCCAGGCTCCAGGTCAGGCTCCAGGTCCAGGCCAGCCTCCAGGTCAAGCGACGGCCCGCGTCTCACACGCCTTTGCTCCGCCCTCACCAGCCCAACGATCGGCAACCGCCGGTGGGTGACGTTCAAGCGGACCCCCGAGATGCCGACCTACCTCGTGGCCTTCGTCGTGTCCAAGCTGAAGAAGGTGAACACGACCAGTGACAAGATCAACATCTACGTCCGCGAGGGAGCCGAGAACGGCGTGACCGAGGCCCGCACCGTGGTGCCCAAGCTCCTGAGGTTCCTGGAGAACTTCATGGGCGTCGCCTACCCGCTACCGAAGCTCGACTTGGTCGCCATCCCGGACTTCCCTGCCGGCGCCATGGAGAACTGGGGACTTATCACATTCAAGTAAGCCCCCCTCCCTCCACCTAGCCAAGTACACACACACACATCGTTATCGCCTTAAACTCATGTCGCCGTGATCCCCAGGGAGGACATGCTCCTCGTGTCCGAACTCTCGGCCGCCGACCGCCTGGCCGAGTCCCTCCGCGTCATCACCCACGAGTTCGCCCACCTGTGGTTCGGCGACTACGTCACGCTGCAGTGGTGGAACACCATCTGGCAGCAGGAGGGCATGGCGGCCTTCATGGAGTCGTACGCCCTGGACGGGGTAGGTGCTGACGCCGTTGATCTGGCGCTCCAGGTTCATGGGGGTGGGGGAGGGGGGTTGTTCTAATGGAGAGGTACCTACTTCACTCAAAATAATCAGTGTACACCCACC